TACCGTAAATAATGTACGCCTGAGTGTGAGGTTCATGTAGTATGTACGACAGGGGAAGGATAATTCCGTCAAGACTCGCTGCAAAGAAAATTTTCCAATCAAAAGGAAGACCCGACTAAATGAAATCAAACCAGGATTTCTGCACGTCCACTCCTGTCCACTCCCGCATGAGCCCCCAAAGGCGATCACAGCTCGACAAATGATATTTGGAGATGTATATGGGGCAATGACGGAGAAACGCCTTGTATGCAGTATCACGCTTCAAGTTCAATGATTACCATTATAGTTAGAGGGGAAACTTGTGCCTCAAACTATATCCACATCAGAGCACATCAGAGCACATCAGCCTACATCTGCACACGACGATTCTATAAAGGAAATTGCCAGAGAAATTCCAGAGAATCTAATAGAATACCTTGGCCTTCATCGGTTGAGTTGATAGCTACATACGGTATTTCCCGAGTCGTAAGTGTCCTCTGTTGACGTGACGAAGGCACTGACTAACTTCTAGAAGAATTAGCATGAGAACGATCGTCAGGCTCCTGTCTGACTCTAGAATCTAGGAAAGATGAGTCCCATCCTATTTGTGAATGAACAAGAAGAAAAAGGTATACAGTTTGCATACGGTCGAATTTCTTGTGAATATGAGAGGCATATGGTGCGAAGACTAACCGGAACTTTTCGTAGATTAGCGACAGAAAAAGCATAAATGTAAGTTATGACCGCTCGAAGGGGGGGCGTGTAGAGCCATTGAATATGTCGTCGCAAGTCAATTTCGATCCTCGAAGCGGTGCTAATCAGATATCATGAGTATAAAAACTCCCAGTTGAATTTGAGACACTTTCACCTTCTCTCTCTCTCTTTCCAGAGCAGTTGGTAACTCAGTAGTCACGGTAAGAGTAATAAAGGTGAGCCCCGACAATCCCATACTGCTGATAACCACGTGAAGTACTCTGACCTTGCTTTGACCCACACCGCTTCCACTTCGCTGCGATCCATGGCACTTCTAATGGCTGACAAAGTACCCATTTCCCTGCTTCGGGTGAAAGCTGACTGTTCAAGGAATGTAGGCCGACTATTCTTTCAATTTCTGCATTCATTTCTCGACTCATCCTACTACCGTGGTATTTCAAACTATAATGCAATAGGGCGAACGTTTTTGTGAGTGGCCAGGCAGTCCCCGTGCGCTCTTGAAGCATATTCGAAAGATTGATAGATTTCTTGACAGTTCGATATTTCAATCCAAGGCCAGCCTGCTGGACGTATAGTCTTCGAACTATACGATGACGTCGTGCCCCGGACAGCCAAGAACTTCCGCGAGCTGGCGACTAGTCAACATGGATTCGGTTACGCGGGCAGCACCTTTCACCGCATCATCCCCAAAGTATTTTCATTCCCGTAGGCCAGCTTTCTTCATCTGAATCACAGTCTCTGTCAGTTCATGATACAGGGAGGCGATTTCACAGCGCATAATGGGACCGGCGGTCACTCGATTTATGGACGCGGGTGGTTTGCTGGTACGCATTGTATCTCTGTAGTGCTCGTTATTGATGAGGGACTTTCACCCTTCAGACGAGAACTTCCGATGCTCTCACTCAGAGCCTGGTCTTCTTTCGATGGCTAACTCTGGGCCTAATACAAATGGATCACAGGTTTGCCTTATATTTCCCGGATACTCGTATCACTGCCTAGCTCATTGGGAAATTTTGTTTTACTCCGCTTCTCGAACCGTCGACAGTTTTTCATCACCACAGTCGCAACGAGATGGGTAAGTGCCTCCACGATTCCAGAATAAAATAAAAGACAAATGAAATGTTATCTATTTAGTTGGACGGGCGCCATGTCGTGTTCGGGGAAGTTGTTGAGGGTATGGATATCGTCAAGTTGATTGAATCGCAAGGCTCAAGCAGTGGCCATCCGGTTCGTCGGGTCACGATAACTAAGTGTGGAACCATTTAGACATTAGAAAGTCGCTCAAAAGTTTTGGTTAGTGGTAAAGGATACTATGTATATCGTTTTCCGGAAGACTCGAGATTTTGAATCTATGTTATGCACATTTTTCTATCATTTTCCTTGTACAGGCTGCACTACACCAGACAATACTTTTTGAAATTCACTGTGTAGGAGATAATCAGTTGCCTGCAAATCGTGTGTACACTTTCGCGGGTTGCCACTAAACTCCGACATTAGTGCTTAAAATTAGCATAGATCAGCATGGAGAAACACGATCGATGTACATGTATTTAGACAGATACTTCGCTGCATACATCATCATCCTATACTGAAGAGGGACTAATATTCAAATCATTCAACAAGTGTCATTCAGGAGGGTAATCTTGAGCCTGGAATATGGCTCAAGGGAACGCGCATCCCCGAGCTGCACTTCTCATCAGGAGATCCGTAAACTTGAAAGTGAATCCTTTGGATCACTTTCTATTCGCTCCATTTCTTGAATATTGTTTTCAATGACCTTACATCGGTAAGAGGCAGTTGCCCTCAATTGCCTCGGTAAGTCGTGGTCTCATTCATCCCGAAGAATGAAAAAATACAGTCGTGGTATGTTTCTGCCACAGAAGCGACGCCACTGCACAGTCGCGGTTAAATCGCTATTTTCAGGTATCGCAGGGTATCGCCTGGACAGTGGTCGATTATGGAATCGATCTGTGGGGATCCTGAGAATCATTAATCAGGGCCGACAAAAGACTTATAGGCATCGTAAAGGCAAATTTCAAGGTGAAGCTATGGAGAGCCACGGTCAAGCAGGCGTCACGAATAAAATATACACTAGAATCGCGCAGCTTGTATTCATGAACTCCTAGACTAAACATGGCTGAACATTTGAAATGAACATCAAGATTTGTGCCTACGATTCCTACTATAGATGACGGTATAAGACTATCATTGGCAAGTGCACGTACATTCGGAAAGCTCAATGACCGCGAAAGTAGCCATGTTATGACAGCAGTTTGACTATCTTCAACGTACACTTTTCAGTTTTCATGGGCAGACTTCGGTTCTATTGGCTCCAACCCTATTGCAGATATCAATTATTAGATTTGACTCTCAAGCGTTAAGTACGTTAAATGACCACCGACCAGAGGAGGAGCATGTGTAGGCTAGATAGCGTTTTGTTCAAAGAATGCGGAAGGAGACCCTACGATATAGAGGGCGTCAATGAATTTTGCCGTATCAAGAGACCCGGTACCATTGGACGGTACATAATTGAGAGCCAACAGCTTGGATTATATGTATACGGAGTTAGTGTATCTTGAAGCCGACGTCATAATACGGTCTCTTTTCTGTATACCTGCTGGAAGTTCGCCACCGCCGAAGTCGGAAGCGCATTCAAATGTCACTGAGAAAAGTCGCTCCAACGCAAATGTTGTTAGAGAAAGAATATGAACCACCAGCACGTAGATTTCATGGGCAAACGGTATTGGTAAAAAGAACAGTTTTTATCGCCTGCTTCCTCTATACATGTACACCTTCCATACGGCCGGCCTATGGTATGAAAGAAACCATGGTTCGAGAATCTTCCGAGAATTGCAAAGGCGACAATCTAACTGCCTTCATCATACAGCGGCAGTCTTATTTTTCGGGTCTGACTCTTGCGTCGGGTCGAGAGTTATCTGTGAACAGTCAAAACTCGTAGAGACATCCCAACAATGAGAAGTCACCCGCACCTGTTCACCACCTTTTCCATTCTCCCAGACCTGGTATCTCAGAGCAGTAAGGCCTCTTTTCTCCGCCGCCAGCCGTTGAGTTTCCTTCAGTGATTTACGGACTGCACCAGCAGTGATCTGGCTGTATTTGTTGAAGCTAGACAAAGAAATTCAGCAGAAAAACGTTGGCATGCTTTGAATAGAGCATACGTAAAAGTACTCCTCCAAGTAGCAGCGCTCATTGCTTTAGACGACAATGGTGAAAGTCAGGTGTAAGTTGAAGACAAGAAGAAGTTAGCGCCAATGGGCGCTAAAACTGAGCCAAACCATGCCGGATACAGGCGCCACCTGCAATTGAAGCCATAATACTAATAGTCAATATTTGCAGATAACCTGGTCTAAAAGTTCACCAGTGACAATCCTCCGTTGCACTTGTATAGCTTCAAGGCTTAGGTTTTCTTGGTTGATTTGAGTTAATGGGAAAGTCTTCGGGTTTTTTCGTGTCTATCATGAAGGTTCATGAAAGATTACCAGGTGTCTTTTTTCGAAATGCATGCAGACGACTACTAAACCATTGAATTCCAGATACTTTTAGAACTGCATAGAAGATTCTCTCTTGGAGTTCATGGCGGAGAAATTGAAAAACCCTCGGTAACGCCGAAAGAAATCAGGAAAATAAACGTTCATGCTTCACTTGTGTCCATCCCAGCTCCAAACAAACGATGTCGAGATAGTGAAATCGGATAACACTAACTTCTCTAGACACACACTCCTGGCATCATATGCTACTCGTCACATCAACCCACCACCTACCGATATGGCTATCCTTGCAACGAGTCAAATCAAGATTGTGAGGTCCTTTTAGACAAAAATTCACATAGTTGGTTTATTTCGAAGGTGAGGGTCGTGTCCAGATGTCTTCGAAGACATCTTCCCTTATCTTTTCTATAGGCTTGACGCTATTATTGGCCTCTTCATCCCCGAGATCGATCTGATCCTCACTTTTGACCATATAGATAGTGGGTTTCAAGGCATCGAGGAGGGAACTGTCGGAAAAATCTTTGGTTCAGGGGATTGTGAGTCAACTTCTCCCGAAGTCCTCGAGAGTTAAAGGTCTGAGGAACAACTCAACCTTGAACCAACACTGCGGCTTTACTAGTCTTAGGCTTGCTGTCTTCCTGACACCGATATGACATCGGTATTTTGGCCTACTACCCAAGGGACTAAGAGAAATTTACGATACCTGAGGATAGGCCTTGTCGAGATCATTCACGGGCTCCCCTGTATTTAATCCAGGTTGCTCGGGTAGAGTTATGTTCTGCAGAAACTTGACTTTGAGGCGCTATAGCCAAGTGGTTACGGCGACAGATTAGAATCACGGCGAGTCTATCTGTTCCTCTTCGAGGGCGCAGGTTCAAATCCTGCTGGCGTCGTCTTTTGAGATTAAGGTTCTTTTTGATGGTACGTTTTCCTTGCTCTTTCCTCAGAATTGTATTATCGGGGTGACCGCTACCGCACGAGTGATTCAATCACACCTGTTGAAGTGCAACTCGTATCGTTCATGCCGATACCAGAGCATATTACTGTGACGAAGTTGACATTTCATGGTCTATGCTTAATTATTCTTCAAACAGTGAAGAGAACTTCTCTCTGCTTCGACTTCTCTTTATACATCCCGCATCGTTCCTCTTTCAATCTGTTGTTCCCTTCGCATTTACTCGTTAGATTATTCATGGAACGCTTATTGAATATGGTGAGATGGCCGAGCGGTCTAAGGCGCCAGACTAAGGAGATCAACATGCTGGGTGTGTATTAAAATCTGGTCACACTGTGGCGTGGGTTCGAATCCCACTCTCATCATAATTTTTGTATTCTTTTCTCCTCTCAGACACTCTTCGGATTTTTGAATGTTTTTCAATACAATAACTTCATCTGTGATAAGACATTGAAGATAGCACCTACAAATGTTCCATCTCTTGCAACATTATCTCTCTAAGTTGGTCTATCCTTCCATGGACTTTGCAATCCACTGCATTCATCAGGGATGCGAATGGACTAGAAGGAGAATATCTGAGGTGAAGAACCCCCAAACAACTGAACAATACCACTAACCCAGCACTCCAACTGTCAAGTCCACCTTGGTGCCCCGCTCTGCTGCTCAGTACCCCGAGATCTTGTCAGCGACTGGTTCTAGTAACAGGTGTCACCAGGCATCACACTTCAGAGAAAGCTTGGAAAGTGGAGCAATAGAAGGGGCAAGCAAAGATTCTGGCTAAACCAGGTAGAATAGACAAGATCAAAGCTAAGGAAATCCAGCAAGTAACTACAGCTTATATACAAGTAAGTAACCCTCCACCCTAGTAATGTCCAATACTCTGGGTCAGTGGCAAGCATGAGTAAAACATGTGTGAAACAGATAAAACCTAAGTGTCATGCCTTGCTTCTCCAGACCTTTCCCTTTCCTTTCCAGAGCTCCGGTTCATCACTTATACATGTTTCCGATATTCTATGCACCATCCTTACGATCTTCACGATACATATTACCTGTCACTCCAGTAGCCATATGACATATGTACCTGACAGCTGTCAAGCCCATGCCTCGGGCCTTCACTTCGCCGCTCGGTGTTCCGAAGATCCACTGTTTATTGTAATCTCTCCTTATTGTTCTTTCTCGCTACACATACCCATTCATTCTAGTTCCTCCTTATTGTCTTTTACTTTACCCTGCAGGACTACACGTATAACTCCTAGTAGTTAGTCTGGTGCTCCGCACCGCTGCGCCGCTCCGTAGATATAAATACTGCTTGTACACTACTGTAGTTCCTCAGTTTAATTATCGACTTAGATTCCCTCCTTTACTCTGTACTCCTCTAAGTCTTCAGGCTCACTGCCTTGAAGTACACTCCACTCTACCTTAGGACTTATAAGTTCTTTGGCTCGCTCCTCGTCACCGGTGATACCGCGGCTCCGACTTGGCTGCTACTTAGCTCCTCCCTTCTATACTCCTGATCTCCGGGGACTAACGGCGTAACGGCGGTGTTGTTAATAACTTCACTACTGTCCCACTCGTCTTCCGCACTTAGACACTCTGTGACCTTTGGCACGGTTACACGGTGTGCATGATCTTAACAACAGCCTCATGTACAGTATATAGGCTGGGGACTCCCCTCGGAGCTCCCCAGCGTGTTATTGTCAAATCTTACCTGGAAACTCTTCCTACCTGGCTTGGTCCCTTTAGTATAGTCTACTAGTACTTGCTAACAGGGCCTGACACGTCTCAACTGTCATATATTTCCTCATTATCTGTTTCCTTCATCTCTGTCTCACCTCAACTCTATTTCTCCTCTCTGTTTCCCATCTCTGGCCTCTTTCTGTCAATCCTCGTATTGTCTACGCCTCTCCTTTGACTCACCATCTACGTCGAGGCTCTACAATACGTCCTTCATCCTTTGGAACCTCCCATTAGGTTCCCAATTCTGCTTCATTGCTCCCTAAGCTCCCCACAGCTTCCCACCCATATCGGCTACACCTCTCCTCCATATCGAAGCGGTGGTTACGCGTTACGTTCTACACCTCTAGGACCCTCTATTAGGTCTACCCAAGCTCCACAACTACCTCTGGTTAGGCTCCCCTCACCAGTATCGGCACTATCCCATACCTCCTCGTACGGCCTAGGCGGCTACTGCGTTTGCTTAGGCCCAGTCTGGGTAAGACCAGAGCAGGCCTTCTGTGCCAGGGCCTCACACTAAGTAAAGCAATGTGTAAGTAATAAAAACTCAATTGACATGCTGTATGCATGTTGTGAGACTGCTGTGTTTAATATAAGTAAAATGAAAAGCACATGTTGTATCAGTAAGCATGAATAATAGGTCAGGTGACAATGTAAGACAAGATATGAGATAAGGGAGGTAAAAGATAAGATGAAAAGAAGTGATTGTAACAGATCTACCCTTTATTGTTCTTTCTCGCTACACATACCCATTCTTCCTAGTCCCTCCTTATTGTCTTATTCTCTACCCTGCAGGTACTATATACAGCCCCTAGTAGCTAGTCTGGCGCTCCGCCCCGATACACTAATTAGTAGGTATAAATACTGAGTGGCACCAGAATCAATTATGGCTGCACTTGTTGTACTCTGGAATTATCCTTTGAGTTCTATTGGCACATGAAAGTGAGAAATGTTGATGAATTCTAGTGCGCTAATAGTACAGGAGGTGATAGAGGCATATATGGACAATGGAGATTCTGAGTACAATTTGGGGAACAATACTGCAGCAGTGGCGGGTTCCCATTAAAAATTCTTGTGCAGTTCAGTGATCTGTCCTGCAAGGACCTGTTGGTTGGCAGCAAGCTCCTTTAACAGTTGGGCAAGATTGGGTGTGGCAGTGATGGTAGTACTTGGAGTGACTGATTGAGGGGTGTCAGGAATACTGGTAGCACTAATGGTAGTAGCCCTCCTTCCAGGGAGTCCTAAGAACTTATGACAGCACACACCCTCTGCATAACCATTGAGGCCGCAGTGACAGCAGATGTTACCATCCATAGCATTGGCCTATCATGAAACAACAAAAGGCATCAGGAGATCAAGTGGTAGTAGCATCAATGTTCATTGCATTTGGGTTTTAGGTAGGCATAGTGTTAAGATCATGTACACCATGTAACCATGCCAGAGGCCACAAGGTGTCTAAGGGCAGAGGGTCAAATGGGACAGTAGTGAAGTTATAAACAACACCACTGTTACGCCATTAGTCCCCAGAGATCGAGAGTAGAGAAGAAGAAAACCAGGAGCAGCCAAGTTGTAGCAGCAGTAACACTGACAATGGGGAGCGAACCAAAGAACTTATCAGTCCTAGCGTCAGAGTAAGAAGTACTTCAAGGCGACGAGCCTGAAGACTAGAAAGTGACAAGACACAGGGTGCAAATCTCCATAAGTTGCTGCCACTTACTGAAGACTTTTGAAAAATTGATGTAAATTTCTGATAAGATAAGATTTGTGACTTATGGAAAGTATTATGTAGAACTTATGGAATAAAATTTCCATAAAAGGAAATTTATTTGCATAAGTTCATCATAAACAACAAGATAAGTAGACAATCTTATGCTTTAGCCATTTCATGTTAATTCACTGTAAGTTTCTCATAAGCCACAAAAACTTATGATAATTTGCACCCTGTGAGAGCACAGAGGAAGTCTCAAGTCAAGGACATTAAGAGGACAATCTAAGTTGATAATTAAACTGAGGAACTACAGTATCATACAGGCAGTATTTATATCTTCGGATCGGCACATCAGGGCGGAGTGCCAGACTAACCACTAGGGGCTATACGTGTAGTACCTGCAGGGTGGAGAATAAGACAATAAGGAGAGACTAGAATGAATGGGTATGTGTAGCGAGAAAGAACAATAAGAAGATTACAATAAAAGGCAGATCTCGGAAAACCAAGTGGGGCACCAAGGCATGGGCTTGACACATAGTGAACAGGGCAGCAACAGTAGAGGGTCTGATATTGGTCAGGATTCCATTGTCAACTAGTTTCTTTCCTTGTTCCCATGCTCAGGTAACCTGTTGGTTGTATACATCAATGGCTGCGTTAATCAATTCCTGAAGGGAACCAGTGGGATGGGTCATAAACACAAGACCATCTTTTACATGATTTGCAAGGTAATCATAGAACCAGTCTCTCAAGTCTTTGTCTGAGTAGCTAGTGCGGTCCACATACTGTTGGAAGGTGGAGGCATAGATTTTCACTGTGGTTCTATTCTGTTAGAGCTGTTTAAGCAGTTGTTTGGCATCTGTGGTCTCAAAATGTGTTTTGAAAGCTGTGATGAATTCTTTCCGTGTATGGCTATTCCTGAGCCAGTTATATTTGATTTGTTAATAGTTTCGGAGATAGGAGTAGCCCAAATAGCTGCATCCCCTTCAAGGTATGTAATGGCAGATGGGATTTTCTTTTTATGATCTGTGGAGAGAGTGGGGACAGAGTTAGCCCACAGCTCAAAGGCAGCTAGGAAGCACCAAGCATCTTCTCTTCACTTCCCATTGTAGTTCTGTGGCTTACCAACACTTTTGGTAGTGCTGAGGCCGCTTACTAGGTCAGAGACCACATCTTGGAGCTTAGCCTGGTTTTTTGTAAGCTCCATAATAGCATCTCAAATGTCCTGTGTATCATGAAGTACATAGCCCCTATCATTTTCCTTTTCTCACTGTTGTCGAGCTCCATGCGCCTCTGTGCCCGGAACTCGACAAGTCCTACGCGATAGGTAGTGCATCAGACTGAGGATGGGGCATACAGGACAGGCCCAGTGGTAATCCCTCAAAAAGGGTGCCGTTGGTTATCAGTCCTATTTGATTTATTCCCTTAAAGAGTACTTGTCCCGCATCCTCTCTGCATGATCCAGTGTTTCGAGGGTTCATTTGCTTTGTTTCAACATATTTTTGTAAGTTACACATACACAGTATCTTTCCCTACTTAGAGAGTAGGTAGACAAAAAGGAAATAGATAGATTTTACCCCCCCACCTTTTCTGGATCTAAGAAAAATCCAATCAAACATACAAACCCCTGCGAGTTTGAGCCGTCCCTCAGACCAGATTGAACCTCCCATTGTACTCAAGATGGGTCTGATTTGTGTAGCAAACTAGATCCCGTTTCATACCTGGAGCCCACCGCGAGGGGGGTTTCTAGTTTCTGAACTTTGGCTTCGAACCAGAAAAACCATTGTGAAAAATTAAAAACACATAGATTGCCATGACCAGTTGTCATACAGGCCTATGGAACCATCTGTCAGTGGAAGACAAAGCTCTCCTAGCCCAGTTCCATCAAGGTCATATAGACTTCAACTTCGAAGAGCTACTGTCCCC